GAGGGCAAGAATGTTTAGCCAGAGTTAGATCCAAATTCACATGCCGCGCCTGCTGACATAGAACCTCGCAAAGCAAGCCGGCAACAACCACAAAGGCACACCCATCAATAATAGTAACAGCAGCTGCCATTCAAAGTGCCCCGTCGCGCAGTGTTGCAAATTTTCTCGTTAAGTGATTGCCCTGCCTTGACACCGCTAGTCCTCCTAACAGCCCTGCGAAGTCGCTGCGGCCGGCCTCGGTTTGCAGATGGGGAAACTGAGGCACAGAGCGGCCAAGCATGGCTCCAGGCTCCAACACCCTTAAGCCACCACACTGCGCGCTGCCCCGCGCTGAGGAGCAAGTAAGAAGTCAGAAAGGAAACCGCAAAGGACCAGGCGAGCGTCCCAGGCTCCTGCAGGCACAAAATCGCGAGTGCTGAAGCGGGCACACAGGGGCGCACACGCCTCACAGACCCCTGCCATCACAAACTACGCTCACTTCGATTCCGTACCGCGGTCCACTCCTGCCTAGGACAGGAGGGGATGGCAGCTCTCCGCCTCGGCAGGCGGGCAGCAGGAGGGAGGAGACCTCGCTCCTGCCAGCGATCGGTGCCCACCGCCAGTCCAGGCTGGACACCCCTTGGGCAGGCTGCCAGGCGACGAGGGAGCCAACGCAGTTCCGGGCCGTTTCCCACGCTTGGGCCTGGGTTCTGGGAGACGGCGAGAGCCGCCAAGAGCCGGTGGGGCTCCTGCCTCCTAAAAACCCACCCGGTGGCTTGGGTCTTCACGGCCGGCGTGGGTGGTCAGACTGCTGGGTGGGCTTCCGTGGTAGGAGGTGGTACGGATGGCCGGGACTGTGGTGCCTGCCCCTGGGGCCCCAGGAAGCGGGAGTCCCACCCAAACCCTGCCACGGCGAGGAAAGGGCCCACCCTCCCCACCAGCCCGGATCCCCCTCAGGAATCATTCCCCAACCGTCCTGCCCCAGAGTCTATTCCTGGCCTGCAGTGGGGGAGGGCAAGAGCTCTTCCGGTCCGGCCCTCTGCTGGTCCCCGAGATCCAGGTCCCTGATTCCCCCACCTTGCTGTAGAAGGGGACACAGCCGGCAGAGCAGTGGCCAGGGAAGTCAGCACCCCTCCGCCTCAAACTCCCTGGTCCCTGGATCTCCGGGGCTTTTCAATCGTGTCTAACCTTTGTCCTTTCCAACATGGCAAGCCCCAGGTCTTTGCCTCCTGGGTCTCATCTCAGGGGATCTAAACTCACTTGCGTTCTGCTGGGGAGGTCTAACCACAGTCATTTGTGAGGGTCCAACCTCAGCATTTTTCATCCGGGGGCGGGGGGCGTCTAGCCTCAAACCCTCTGCTGCAATGTGACCATAGCTTCCCCACAATAGTCCTTCCCCCCATATCCTTTTCTCTGAGGCTTAAGCTCTGTATTTTCCCACCAGGGTCTAACCTGACCCAGAGCTCTCCACTTGGGTCTAACCTCAGACCCGGGGCTCTCCCCTGGGGTCCAACCTCAGTCCTTTCTGTTGGATTCTACAGTCTTTTCCACGTTGGTTTCACTCCAGCCTTTATGACAGGGCCTCGTTTCTAACCTCCTACTCCGTTCTCTGAGGTCTACAGCGTGATCTCCCTTCGGGCCCACTTCTAGGTCTAACCTTGGCCTTTTCTCTCCCCATATTCCCCTCCCTCCATTCCTCCAGCACCCAGCGCGGAGCCTGGCACACAGCAGGCACTCACCAACCGCTTCCCGGAACAAAAGAAAGAGAATGAAGGCAACTCAAAAGTCTGGTCCTTCCGGACATATAAATAATCATTGGCTCACCAACTCTCATTAGGGGCGGAAGAGGGGCAGGAGTTGGGGGGGGAATCATCCCGTTTCCAAATGGGGACACTGAGGCACAGAGGAGGAGTGTGTCAGCCGGGCTCACAGGGCACAACGGGGCACAGCCAGAGCAGGGACCCACAGCTCTACCACTGGAGGGTGTGGGGAGACCATCCTCTCCTTCAGGATGCTTCCCCACCACGAATGGCTGGAGGTGACGGCCCCAGTGAACCACACCAGCGTCTGGGGCGGGCAGTGGGTAGGAGCTCAGGAGCCTGGGGTCTCAGCAGGCTCTGGACCCACCCCGTCCCCAGGCCTCTGTGACTGACGTCGTCTCCTCTGCTGCACTTGATGCCGAAGCCGGGTCAGGACCAGCTCCGAGGCCTGGACCAGGCTGTGCTGTGGGGGACAAGAGGAGGGCAGGGCTGAGACCGGGCAGCCAGGGTGCAGGTTAGATCACTCGGGATGGTGTGGAGGAGACAATCCCACAGGCCCGGAGCTCGGCTGCGGCGGGAGGCCGGAGCGCAGACCAGCCGGTGGGGTGGGGGGACAGGTCCCTGTGAAGGGGTGAAGGTCAGACCCAGGGGGACGGCCTTCAGTGAATTCCCAGTGGGAAGAACTAAGACGGCACCCAATCGTACGGGTCTGAGGTTAGGACTCGGAAAGGACAGGGGAGGACCGAAACATGGGAGACAGACCGCCCTGCATGGGAGGTGAGGCCGAGGTTAGACCACAGTGGGGAAGACTGAGGCGAGACCTTGCCAACAAAGAGTAGGCCAACGGGACAGAGAAAGAACCAACCAAAGTGAAAAAGGCAGCAATGTGGCATCACCTGAGGGACAGAGTGCGACCCTGGCTGGAGCGTCTGAGGCTAGACCCTGGCAGAAAGGGCAGAAGAGATTACAGTGAGACGGCCTGAATGAGGGATGAGGCCTTGGTGAAGGGATGGTCAGACCACAGGGAAGGAAGTCCTTTCTCCCACAGTCGGACCACAGCCTCTTCCACTGGGATCAAACCTACGCCCTTTCCATTAGGGTCTAACCTGCGACCTCTCCGCCGGGGTCCAATGGTTCCCCTTTCTTCCGAGGTCAAACCCAGACCATTCCATTGAGGCACAGATGGTAGAAAAAGACCCAAGCAAAGAGCAGAGGCGGTATGGTTAGCTTCCAGGAGAAAGAACCCAGGCTAGACCATACAGAGACGTCTTGGAGGCAGACCGGAGATACGGCCAAGGCAAACGCCACACTGGGAGCCGAAGGCAGACTGCAGCCTGAGAGGTGGGGGGGTGGGGTGGGGAGCCACAGGGAAAAGGCTGGAGGGGAGACTGCATTAGTTGGAGGTGAAACGGAATGGGGGGGTTCCGGGTTGGACCTCGGACCACTGAACGGTTGGCGACTAGACCCCGACAGGGGTTACAGCAGTTAGGCCGCCATGGCGGGGGTCAAAGTACAGCCCAAGGCCGGACAACAGACCAAAGCTCAAGGGCCTGACCACAACAGAAAAGTTCCGAGGTTAGGCCAAAGTGGAAAGGTCCAAGGTTAGACGTTGGTGGAAAGCCGGAGGCTGGCTGCGGGAGGCCCGGAGGGGAGGCTACGGGACGAGGGTAGGAAAACCATTGTTCGGGAGTCAGAACGCGACAGCAAGGGGGAGGTCAGACCACAGCCGGAGCGCAGCCGGCTGCACACAGAGGAGAGGGCGAGGCAGTGAGGAGAGCGGGCCCTGCGGGAGGGCAGAGGTTAGATCACTGGGCAGGGGTGGGGGCAGATCTGGGTGAGGCCACAGCCAAGGGACAGAGTCAGACAAAGCACGAGGAACCGAGGGCTGAAGTCAGGAGGCTGAGGGCGGGAGGCTGGGGCTGACAGATGCCACGTCGGAACCCCCTTTGCCATGATGGTGCCCCCCCCCCCCCCAACCAGCGGCCTCTGCTCCTGGGACTGTCCTTGGCCAGCGAGAACCTCCTCCCAGAAACAGGTCACTCCCTCCTCCAAGAGGGGGCCTGCAGCCAACGATCCCTTTGTGCGAACGATGGGCTCAGGCTGCAGGGCTCCCGTGGGGTCGGGCCTTTGAGGCCACCTCCTCACGTGGCTACTCCCCGTGGCCTCTGATGTGTTTCCTGCGGGAGCGCGCCCTCGAGAGGCGGCTGAGCAAACACCCCCACCCCAGGCGCCGCTGCAAGGGGGGCCCCCCCACCGACCTGAGGAGCCCAGCTACCTGCAGGATGTGCACGCCCTTCAGGGAGACCACGGCGAGCTCCCGCAGCCCGTCCCCGGTCAGGTCCACGTGTGCCAGCGCCAGCAGTGGGCTGGAGAAGTCTCTCTGCCACAGCAAGCAGAATCCCCGCTCGGCCTCGGGGAGCCCGGACTCCGGGCCGAAGTACTTGTAACAGAGGAGCTCCTGTGCAGGGGGGCGAGGGGTTAGGACCGCGCGGGGACGCAGGGCGGCGGGAGGGGGCCGGGGGTCGCAGCCCCACCCCTCCGGTCCCACCTGTCCGTAGGTGGCCACCAGGACTTCGGGCCGCCCGTCCAGATCTACATCGGTGACCAGGCCACAGAGGACGCTGTCAAACTGGTCACTGCCGGGCAGGAGAAGCTGGTCCTCAAGGCCCCGGCTCAGCAGGTCCCTGAGGGTCACGGAGGCGGTGGGGGGGACCGCGGTCGCACCACGGCGCCCGCCGCCCTTGGCCCACGTCGCTCCCCTGCTCAGGTCTGGACACACCGCTCCTCCTCGGCACCCTCGTCTCCGACCCGGACGTCTTCACGTCCGTCAGACTGCTCACGCAGACTGTCAACCGATATGGACTCCCATCTCTGTCCCCTGGAGGCGGGGCCATCTCCCTCCCGAACGGAAACCCACTTTATTCCTTCTGGTGACACCCTGGCCTCCAGTCCGGACACCCACATCGCGTCCCTGGAGCCTGGGAGCTGGGTTCCAGCTCGGACATCAGGTGAGCCACCGCGGGCTAGCACTGCGTCGGCGGCTCAAAATCCGCCATAGCGGGAGTAAGTTACACCCCAGAAGCTGGCAAACGCTACAAGTCAGGGCTTCCTCACCCAACGAGCCCGCGGTTAAACGTTTGCCAACACGCTCGTCCAGGGGGAGCAGACATCTGTGTTCCCGTCCCAAGGCTTCGATGGATCCGCTACGAGTTCTAGACCCAAACACTCGCACTCCCCCTCCCTGGGGCACGATCACCTTTACCTGCCCAGCCCTGGACAACCTCACCCGAGGGGGCTTCCTCCTGAGAACAACCGGGTGCGGGAGCAGGAGGTCAGGCCGCCCCTGTGAGTCCGCCGTGCGGGCCGCTCACCGATATACCACGGCTGGTTCCAACATGCTGGCCACGAGCACGCTGTACTCTTCCTGCTGTGGCCGGTCCTGGGTCTCTGGAGACGGGACACGCGTGGGGCGGGGCCTGAGGGGACAGGCTCCAGGCTCCTCCTCGCCATCCCTCCTCCCCTGCCCCACCGCTCTAAAAGAGGAGGGAGACCCCACCTTCGCCGTGCTACGAAGGGAAGCTTTGCGGTTAGACAAGATGATGGGAGGAACAGGTGTGAGACCAGAGAGGGAGGGAGACGAGTAAGGAACGACCCGAGGGGCGGAAGGCAGCCCGCAGGGGTCAGGCGAACGGAGCCGTCAGAGAAGGGCAGGCCACAGCAAGAGGAACAGAGCAACAGACAGGAGCGGGGAGCCTGGGTTGGGGGGGCAGCGCTGAGTCCCCAGGAAAAGCTTGGGGGCAGACAGCAGCAAGAGACAGGGTGAGGAGGCCAGAGAGGGGGATCAGAGGAAGTCACAATGTGAGGGCTGACGGTTAGACGAAGGAAAAGCAGAAGGTCAACTCCAGGGTAAAGGACGCAGATTAGAATCCAGGGGCAAGTGGCTGAAATGAATGTGAGGGCACAGAGGGGAGGGAGGGAGCATGGGAGGGATGGGCAGGAGCTGGACGCTCCGGGAGAGGGGTGTGAATCTGGGAGTGGGGAGCTGAGTCTGCAGGGTCACCCCCCACCCCAGAGCTCACCCTCGGGGGCTGAGAGGCTGAACACGATCACTCGGGAGATGGGGCCGTCCTGCAGGATGGTCCATGTCTGCAGAACCTCTGTGTGGGGGGTGAGGAGTCAGGGCCCCGCCCGCCCACCCACCCCGCCCCCTGCCCGGCCCCCATCCCGCCCATCACCTTGACTTCGCTGGTCCACGTGGGCAACTCGGACATAACCGCTCTGACAACCCAGAGCGGAGAGTCGCCGGGATGTGCCGGGGAGATTGTGGACATCAAGCCAGAGGACGCTGGTGGGCGGGCAGGTGGACGGAGGGGTCGGAGGGCATCATCAGATACTGTCCCCACATTCTGCCTCCCCAGGAGCCTCCGCCCCCTTCCTGTCGTCCTGGGGCCCCGCTGGGCCTGATTTCTCTCTGGGATCACCACTTGCCATCGACTTCGTGTGTATGGCCGGAGTTTTCTGAACTCACCTCCCCTGCCCAGTTTCTCTGAGGTCATCTCTGTCTCTACCGTCCCTGAGGGCTTTGCCACCACTTGATTTCTCGGAGGCCGCCTCCCTGGGGCCCCGCTGGCCTCTTTCGGGGGCTCTCTTACCTACTGGTCAGATTCGTGAGCTCCGGGAAGAGGTTTTCCACGGGATGTTCTTCAAACTGATGCAGCCCCTCGTTCTGGGGGAACGAAGACCGACCCCCCTGACTTGAAACGTGTCGGTGGCCAGTCTCACGCGCAGACCCCGCACCAGCCCATGGCAGCCCGAGAGAGCAGGGCTCTGCCCGCCACACCCCACTCTGCCTCACCTCCTTGTAGAGATGAATGGCCGGGTCATTCCCACTCAGGAGAAACACTGTGTCCAGCTGGTTCCCAACCTGGACCCTGAAAGCAAAGAAGTCTAGAACGCCTGTGAGGTAGAGTCCACGTATAGAATTTTCCAACCTTAGAATCATAGAAACGTTCTGTTTCTAGAGCCCTTCCTTGCCTGCTGGAGTCCTCATTCTGGACGTGGGTTCAGGAATGGAACGTGGAGAGCTCTAGAAAGGGTCGCAGAAACCCAGAACGCTAGAAACTCTTTAATCTAGAACTCCACTGTTCCCCAAGTTCTGTTTCCTGTCTCCTTTGAAATACCAGAACTTTTAGAAATTGCCACGGTGGATGTTCCGACTCGTAAAATGGCGCAACATCCAAATCCTAGAATCCAGAACATCAGTGTCTAGAATTCTCACCTGTTAAGACCAGAAGTTGGCAAACTATGACCTTCTGACCAAATCCAACTTACCGATTTTTGTCAATAAAGTTGTACTAGAGCATAGCCACACCGTTCATTGACATAGTGTCGATGGCTGCCTTCTTCCTACAATGGCGGACTTGAGTTGTTATGATAAAGACCGGCCCTTAGCAGAAAAACTTTGCCAAGGGCTGTGCTAGACCACCGATGTCCTAGAATGGAATCTGGAGCTCTAGACTGGAATTCTCATATTTTGGGGTTCTAGAACCTCATATCCCAGATGGTCTGTATTCCACCTCCTTGAAATACGAGACTATGAAACAGAAGAACGACTTTATCATCACGAAATCTCTGAATTACCAAACAGCAGAGCTTTCAGATCTTGGAATCTCAGAGCTTACGACTCCAGAAAACTTCGCCCCTCTGGGTCCTTGAGAGTCCAAGTCGAGAACTCCTGAACCTGAGCGTTCTAGATGTCTAGGACACAGGTGCTCAGTTAGCGCTCAGAGGATCTAAATAGCGACCTTAAAAGCACCGTGCTCTAAAGAACAAAACAAGAGGGGCGCCTGGGTGGCTCAGTCAGTTGAGCGTCCGACTTTGGCTCAGGTCAGGATCTCACAGTTTGTGAACTCGAGCCCCGTGTCGGGCTCTGTGCTGACAGCTCAGAGCCTGGAGCCTGTTTCAGATTCTGCGTCTCTCTCTCCGCCCCTTCCCCGCTCATGCTGTGTCTCTCAAAAATGAATAAACATTAAAAAA